AGAGAACACAGACATGCTGAGCAGCGCGTTGAACCGACAGAGGATGTAGAAAGAAAATGGGATATCTTTCTAAGCTGTTGAAGGGAAGCATCCTTTCTATTCAATACTACATAACTACATAAAAAGGATAGAGGGGCAGCTGCCAACTTTTGGAACCATCTAAACTCCCCAAGAAATGAGACAAGCCTAGAGCAGTGGTTTATAACTACAGCTCAAGGTGTTAGGCTCGAAGGGGACACAGCTATTAAATATATAAGAACAAGAATGGCAGAAAAATTTCGACAAGGAATTTTTTCACGCACGTTGAGAGACAAATATATATCAAATGGCGCAGTGGCTCCATTTTCACAACGAGAGTAGGAAAGAGCTAAGAAGAGGGTTCTTGGTAGTACATTAACAGGTCCTGACGGCATCCCAATTATGCTGATAAAGAAATTAGGTCCCAAGTCTAAGCAAGCTTTGAGCGAGGCAGCATGCGAAATAATTGTTGGTGCAGTCTCTAAGGAATGGAAACTTAACAGAATGAGCATAATCTGTAAAACAAAGGGGGACATGGCTGACATCAACAACTATCGTCCTATAACAGTGAAATCAGTGGTTTACAGGTTGATGATGATGATTATATACGAAAGAGTTCAGGTATGCATAGAGGATGAGGGAGTGCTGGGGGAACCGCAAAATGGGGTTCAGAAACAGAGGAGATTGGAAGGTAACCTGTTCTCACTGACTCAGTGCATCGAAATAGCAGAAAAGGAACACAGGTCCTTGTGGCTAGCATTTTTAGATATCAAGGGAGCGTTTGATAGCGTTGTTCAAGAGGCCTTGTGGGGAATACTAGACTTAATAGGAGTGGAGGATGGAGTTACTATGCACTGAAAGGATAGCTATAAAAGTTACATGGTAGTTAGAAAATGGGGAAAAGAGGCATCCGCGCCCACAGAGATGAATCGGGGGCTTAGGCAGGGATGTCCTCTGTCACCCTTGTTATTCATGATGTACCTACAAGGATTATAGGTCAAATTTGTGAGGACATAGACTCGGCTTCAGCCTCTCTTTCATCGAACAGGGAAAACTAATGAACAGGCATTACCAGCATTGATGCTCGCATATAATATAGTGCTAATGGCCGACGACAAGGAAGATTTGCAGGGATTTATAGACATCTGCGGTAATGAGGGGGATGAGTTATGTTTGAGATTCAGTTTGGAAAGATCAGCAGTCATAATTTTTATTGACAATGAAGGTGGTGAGCTTACGATACAGGTCACACTAGCGATAACGAATAAATACAAATATCTGGGCGTATGGATTAGCAGTGGGACCGAGTGCCTAAGAGAACATAAAATATGCGTAGCGACTAAAGCAAACAGGAATGCAGTGGTGATGAAAAATAGGGCACTGTGGAATTACACGGTGAGCTGTTGTGAAAGGAATTTGGAAAGATGTCATGGTTCCTAGTCTGACTTGCGGCAATGCGGTGTTGTGCATAAAATCAGAAGTTAAAGCAAGATTAGAAATGAAGCAACGTAGAATATGTAGACTGGGTTTAGGAGCTCGCGGGAGTACACCAAACTAGGGAGTACAAGGTGATATGGGATGGGCATCATTTGAGGGCAGAGAATCTAGCAGCAAGATAAAATTTGAGAAGGAATTGAGAGAAATGGGGGAGAAGCGCTGGGCTAGGAAGCTTTTCAGCTATTTTTACACGAGGAATGTCGATGCAAAATGGAGGAAGTGAACCAGAAAATTGACGGGTAGATACTTAGAAAACAGTAGGAGGCCAAACGAAAAAGAACTCTTGGTTAAGAAAAAGGTGAAGGAAACGGAGACCGACATGGGGAGAACAGGCACGATTAAGACTTCGGCACTAGAGATCTATTGAACTTTCAAGCAGGAAATTGCCACAGAAAGGATCCAGGATAATTCTCGGAGTAGTCCTGTACTGTATGAGGTGAGGACGGGAGTATATCGAACCAAGACTCATCGGCCAAATACGAAGGTGTAGACATGGTATGTAGTGCGTGTGGAGAGGAGCGAGAAACCGCCGAACACTTGATAATGTTCTGTAAAGGGCTTCACCCTATAGGTTGAAATGATGGCGCAGAGTTGCAGAGTTCTTCAAAGCACCGGGTTTTACGGACAGGCAGGGCAAAATAGACATTAAGTAACTAGAAATAACTAGAAAAAGGTTATCTGATTAGTTGCTACAATCAAGGCATGAAGGAAAAATAAATTCTTCGCTGCAATGTTCCAGTGCTTAACTTTACTATTTAAAGAAAAAAAAATTAGTTTTCGTCCACTAAGTTTTACGGCTATAGGTGACGTTTGCCGCCGCCCGATCTAAAGGGTACAGCCACATCAATCTTTCCATCCATACTGCATGTAGCAGAGTCGCACACCTTTTCATTCCTGCCCCCGCCGCGGTGGTCTAGTGGCTAAAGTACTCGGCTGCTGGCACATAGGTCACGGGTTTGAATCCCGGCTGCAGCTGCTGCATTTCCGATGGAGGCAGAAATGTTGTAGGCCCGTGTGCTCAGATTCGGGTGCACGTTAACGAACCTAAGGAGGTCGAAATTTCCGGAGCCCTCCACTACGGCGTCTCTCATAATCATATGGTGCTTTTGGGACGTTGAACCCCATATATCAATCAATCCTTTTCATTCCGCCACTCGCGCCGCTATTCGGTGAGCGCTGTCACGTGGTCACGTTTGCCGCCGCCCGATCTAAAGGGTACAGCCAAATCAATCGTTCCATCCTTACTGTATGTAGCAGAGTTGCGCAAACCTTTTCATTCCTGCCCCCGCCGTGGTGGTCTAGTGGCTAAAGTACTCGGCTGCTGACCCGTAGGTCGCGGGTTCGAATCCTGGCTGCGGCTGCTGCATTTCCGACGGAGGCGGAAAAGTTGTAGGCTCGTGTGCTCAGATTTGGGTGCACGTTAAAGAACCCCAGGAGGTCGAAATTTCCGGAGCCCTCCACTACGGCGTCTCTCATAATCATATGGTTCTTTTGGGACGTTGAACCCCACATATCAAGCAATCCTTTTCATTCCACCACTCGCGCCGCTATTCGGCGAGCGCTGTCACGTGGTGCAAAGTGACGTCAAATGTTTGATTTCACGCATTGACGTCAGCTTTACGTGAACAATGGCACGGAATCCACGCGTTCTCTGCCTGCACGGACTTCAGTCTCATCGCGGCCACCATTGTTGGTTTTTAGTTTGTACCAATGCTATTTGCGTTACCGTGTTGCCGGATATAATCTGCGCACACATGGCTTTTCACAGAACATAAACCTTTACGTAACGTAAACTACCCACCGGTTAGGCTTTACGTTTGTACCGCTATTTCACAAGTTCACTTTCATTCCCAGAAACTCGCCATATCCGCATTGCGAAGACTCCAGACATCGTGCAAAATAAGCCGAAGTGCGAGCGCCAATAGCGATTACATTTTTTTCTGCCGGATAACCAAAGCTAGAATGACCAGGGCATTGAAACCGCAAAGGTGCGAGTTCAAACGGACTGGATAGGTAGCGTATCCACTGGAGTCACAAGAAACCAGGCCATCACACTATTCTTATTGCAGAAACATTGTGCATCATATGTGTGGTGAAAAAACCACGCTGCAGCGTTAATGCAAATGGGTTACCTTTTTATTCATTTGGACCTAATTTAAGTAATTATTGAGTTTAGCGTTCCACAACCACAATATTATTAACAAGTTTTAGCTTCTACGTACAATTATTTACGATAACGTGTTACCGGATACTGTTTTGCGTTTTCTGGCTTACCGTAACGGATATCTTTCAACGTTTTAGCTACTCATACGTGAACGTTTACGTAGGTATGTAAACGCGTATACTTTTACGTTTTCGCAAACAATAAATGCCGATGCTAACTGCATATTAACTTCATTTATTTACATAGGATTGAATCACTGTTGTGGCAAAATCACGAGACGTACTTTTTTTACGAACAGTACCCTCGTATGCACAAAAGGGTGAAAATACAAGGGTACTGCAGCGTTGGTGTCGACATCTTGTCCTATTTTGTGCAACCACAATCATGAACACGTTCGCTTACGCGTAATGTTTTGAGGTGAAAATAATTAAAAAGGTAACTCATTTGTAATAACAACGCTGCGCTACTCTTGCATCAAACGTACAATGCGCGATGTTTCTGCAATAACAATACTGTGATTATCTGGTTCACTATTGCCCCGCTGGATGGTGCCATTTATCCAGCTTGTCGTGAGTTTGCACCTTTACGGCGTCAATGTTCCAGGCCATTGTAGCTTTGGTAATCCAGCTGAAACAGTGTAATGGAAATTTACGCTCGCACTTCGTCTTATTTCAACTCGACGGCTCGAGTCCCCGCAATGCGGATACCACAAGTTTCTACGAACGAAGGTGGATTCGCGAGATTGAGCGGGAAACGTAACGCCTATATGGCGGGAAACGTAAACTTTCAGACCTGATTCGGCGGAACTGTAAAGGTTTACGTTCCGTAAAGACCCGTGCACGTGCAGATTCTATCCGGCATCTAGCCACATGGTAACGTAATAAATTATACGTACAAGCTGAAAACCCCCATTATGACAGACGCCGTAGTGGAGGGCTCCGCCAATTTCGACCACCTGGGGTTCCTTATCATGCACTTAAATCTATGCACACGGGTCTCAAGCATTCTCGCTAACTATAGGTTGTATTCACGTGACGTCAGCTAGGCGGGTGCGGCAGCGAAAAGTGCGCCAGCTGTGCTGGCAACCTCGTGGCCACTATTTTGAAGTCCACCATACCAGCGGCCGGCGGCATATCGACAGTTGAGTCTGGTGGTTCCAACAGGTGCACAAACGTTACTATGGTCACGTTGCTCTTGTTTTATTTTATTTCGATTAAGAAGATACGAGTTTTAACATTTGTGATGCTGCTTCAGCCATGGACAATGCGTTTTCGGCTAGCTTCAGCGTGTACGCGGAGAAATTGGACGCCGATGCTAAACAATGACAAAGTGGCTCTCCACAGTGTGCATTGACGCACTCATTCTGACGAGTGAGGCGGCCGCATTTGGCACCAGACTTGTTTCAAAGGTATAACTCTGAGACACAAAGGACTGCTTGGTGCATACACGAGAAGTTTTGTGATGAACGAACGACTCAAAGCGCTGAAATTGTTGGATGCTTGACAAGAGGGTTTTTTCACAAACCTTCACTAAAAAGTAACAGTAACAGCGTCAATTTGGGCGCAAAGGTAAGCTAGTCTGAAGGTATATTCCATCAATAGGCGCTAAACTCCAGTTTACCCAATAATTTGATAACAGTGCGATATTTTACGAATCTAGTTCAAGTGGTGGCCTTAATTGCACTTATAAACTTGCACGTGAAAACACCATTTCATGGGGAGATAAGATTGTGGTGAAGTGCTCATGAGACTGAAAATTCGACGTGGTTGGCTCGCCCAAAGCTTCAATCAGTTGATTGAAAAGTATCAGGAGCATTAAATTATTCACTAGGTCAAAGTTACAAGCCACCTGTGCGTTTACGCAAGTGTACTGAGACAGGTCACTTTAGCGAGAAAAACAAAAGCATGTGCTTCTCATTTAAGCTAGCAGTGTACCGCGCATGTATTATTATTGTTGCGTATTATTATTGTTACGGGGTTAAAAAACGGCTGAACTTTAGTATCACGCAGGGGCACACTCTTGTGTACTCGGCCCTATTTATGGCGGCTGGAAGTAGTGCATTGCGCGCATGGTGTGCGAATAGCCGAAGCATAGGCAGTGGCAGTACAGGGTTGCTCGAAGGTGAATACTACCTATAGCAATATACCGCCTCACTGAAACACTGCAATCGTGCTCAGAGCGCGCGAGTAAGTCTACGGTGCGCCACCCACGCCGGAACATCCTGCCGCATTTTTCTCCTGCGCGCGCGACGACTGACTTCAATGCACAGCCGTTGAACATAATGGTGGACCTGTGTGCAACTCTGCTCCCGTAGGGTGCACATACAGTAACTCTAGCGATAGATGGATGGATGGATGGATGGATATGGCTGCACGCTTTAGATCGAGCGGTGGCTAGCGCCACCAAACCGTAATTCTTAATCAGCCAAAAACTACATTCATTTTTTTCTCTAAATAGTGAGGTTGAGGATTCGTACTTTACAGTAAACGGTTTAATTTTCACTCGTGTCTTGACTTTAGCCACGAATCAGATAACCTCCTTTAACTAATTCTACCCGCTTAAAGTCTATTTTTCCATCCCTGTCCCTCAACCGCAGTGCATTGAAAAACTCTGCGCCATCACCCTGAACTATAGGGTTCAGGATGATGGCGCAGCCTTTTACAGAACATTATCAAGTGTTCGGCAGTTTTTTTTTCTTCTCCACGCGCACTGCATACCGTGTCTACCCCTTCGTATTTGGCCCGACACTTCTTGGTTCTCAGTACTCCCGTCCTGGCCTCAAACAGTAGAGAACTACCCCGAGTAGTATCATAGATCTTTTCCTTGGCAATTTCCTGCTTAAAAGTTCGAAAAGTCTCTAGTGCGGACTTCTTAATCATGCCGATTCTCCACTAATCGGTCTCAGCTTATTTCACTTTCTTCTTAACCGATAATTCTTTTTGGTTTGGCCCTCTGCTGTTTTCTAAGTATCTACCAGTCAATTTTCTGGTTCACTTCATCCCTTTTGTATCGACATTCTCATGTACAAAAACTGAATACCTTCCTATCCCAACGCTCCTCCCCCATTTCTCTCAATCGCTTCTCAAATTTTAACTTGCTGCTTGCTTCCCTGCCCTCAAATGATGTCCATCCCATATCAACTTGTACACTCTGATTCGGTGTATTCCCGTGAGCTCCTAAGGCAAGCCTACCTATTCCACGCTGCTTAATTTCTAATCTTGCTTGAACTTCTGATCTCATGCACAAGGCCGCATTGCCAAACGTCAGACCAGGAACCATGACTTCTTTCCATATTCGTCTCGCAGCATCTTACCTATTGTAATTCCAAAGTGCCCTGTTTTTCATTACCGCTGCATTCCCTTTACCTTTAGTCGTTACGTATATTTCGTGTTGCCTTAGGTACTCGGTCCCATTGCTTATCCATACGCCCAGATATTTGTATTTATCTGTTATCTCTAGCGTGACCTCTTTTATACTAAATTCTCTACCCTCGTGCTCAATCGTACGTGTTCAAAATGGCGGCGACTATCAAGGATTAGCAAAGCCAACAAATGCGTATTGTATGAGGTTCGAGATCTGAGAAGCACCCATCGCCGTACGCTGAGCCTACAAAATTGGTTGAGTGTGACTCTCAAAGATGGTGCCGAACCAGCACGCACTCTGTGTGTGTGAAAGCTTAAATAAAAGCAAAAAGAAGCTTTAGTTCGGAGCTTACAAGCTTTACAGAGCGCACTGCTGCAGCAGCTGCTTTATAAATATGATGTAGGCGACAACTCCTTGCGACAGTGCAGCCATATTTTTCGCAATATGTGATCGTTTCTCATCGGTGCAGTGGAGCCTTTGTATTTTAGAAATCAAAACATAATTCATACGAGACACAATGGCATTATTTCTTCCGCCATTTGCACTTTACTCTTCGAATAAGGGACAACTCTCTTTTTATTATCAATGACCTGCAAAAAATCTTCAATATAAAAATGGGCCAAAATCATAGGCAGATTACAGTCTAAAACGGAAGAGAGCCCTCAAGTAAAATTATTCTGACAAGACCACTTCTAAAGCTCATAAAGACACGCCATGGATTCAGAACGTGGGTACTACATCTCAATTCGCAAAGAACCTGTGCGCGACGATCGCCTAGCGTTGACTGTGCTGCACGGAACTCATAAAACACAGTAGCTTCTTGCACTTTCATTGGGACGACAGATGAGAGAATGTGATTAGCGTGCGACAAATCTCTGCTCGTACTGTAATGATTCCCATAAAAATACTGTGGTGGTGAATTCGTAAGGCAATAACCTCTTTTAAGGAGTCCATTTTACGGCTTCTTTGAAAAGTGTTGCGGGACCCCTTTAAAAGAGTTCATTGCCTGGTGAGTTTATCCCTACAAAAACTTTTATAATCCGTTAAATGCGTTAGCGAGGTTTGTTTTACGCTGAAATTGCTTACTCTTAGTTCATCCCGACTAAGGTCTCTATATTTTTAACTGTTCAGTTTTAACTACTGAAATCTGTTGAACAGCCATCGACGAACTTCGTTGGCTAACTCTTGTTTTCGGCAGCAGTGTTCTTCCTAACGCTTTGTTAGCACCTGGTTTACGAGTGCCCCGCTCAATAACGATGAGCGTGCCGACCAGAGGAGAAAGGCGCATCGCGTCTGCTGAAAGATGCGTAGCTAATGTACTTAGACGTACGTGGCTTTCTAAATCTTCCAAGTTAGGAATAAAATGGTGGCACACACCGGCTGCGCGATCAACGGACGTTAGGCTCATTGATCTCGCCGGAAGCAAAATGCTGCCGGTAGGAAGCTAAGCAGGAAGGGATATAGCGCGGGGCAAGTAAGGTACGTTACGTCCACGCGCTCTCTAATGTAGTGCGTCGGCAGAGGCGGGGGTCAGTGCAAAAGGGAAACCTATCCCCCCTCAAGCACTTGTCCTCACTGAACCTCCCCCTTCAGCAGGCGCGATGCAAACTGGCTCGCAACCCCCTCGAGAAAATCCTCTCGCCCACCATGTGTACTGAGCGCATTTTTGCAAAATAATCATATGCGTGCCAGTCACTACAAACTGCTGTCGCTCCCGTCCTCTGACAATCAAGCAAAAGGTGATAAGAACTCTACCATCCCAATTCCCGCGTCGGCCCGCTCAGGGAAAGCTCGGCCACCCCATCCAGCTGATGGCCAACCACTTTTCCGTCGAGTTCCCAGCGGGCAACGTGTACCACTATGACATGGAAATCTTCTCCGAGAACAACCAGGAGGCAAAGATACCCGAGAAGCGCAAGTACCGCTGCATAAGCACAAAGGTCAGCCGGCTTGTCATCGAACGGCTGGTGAAGAAGTACCACCTGGACTTCGGCAAATGCATGCCAGCATTTAATGGCCGAAAGAACCTGTACACGCGTCGAGAGCTCAAGTTCCGGACCTTCGTGGTGGACCTCGAGGAAGATCAGAGGGTGCAGAAGTTCTTCTTCAAGATCCAGTACGCGGCCACTGTAAATCTGGACGCCCTGCACGCCGTCTTTGAGAACCGGGTCAACACCGTCCCGCAGGAGGTTCTGCAAGCCATCGACATTGTCCTGCGTCACGGCCCTTCCATCAGGCTGACTCCGATCGGTCGCTCCTTCTTCAAGCCGCCGCTTCCGAACCAGGCGGATTCTTTGGGGGGTGGTCTCGAAGTGTGGTTCGGCTACTACACAAGTGTCCGACCGGCCCGGTGGAAGGCAATGCTGAACGTGGACATGTCAGCCAGCGCGTTTTACGAGCAGCCGCTACCGGTGATATCCTTCATGTGCAAGATCTTGAGCGACGGACGCCGCGAAATGACCGTGGCTGACTTCCGGGACCTCCGGGATTTCCAAAAAGTTCGACTCAACAAGAAACTCAAAGGTCTGCATATCAAGGCGAGTAATGGGGCTGGAGGGGGGTCAAGGAGGTTTTGACCCCACTTATTTTTCGTCGATTGTCTCCCTCCTTTCGAGGTATATATCGAGGTAGATATGTAAATACCATACGCATAATGACTAATGGATATCGATCAATGGGTATAGACGGATATCCAAAGCCTCAGGGCAACTGGGATATCCCACGATTATGCTTTTAAAACATGTTGAAACAGTACCTACGAGCTGTGCGTCCTCCAGTTGTAGTATGCAGAATCTGCAACAATAGTTACAGGACTTTAAGAAAAGGAAAACCAAGCTTGCATTGTAGGTAGATGCTGGAGAAACTGTTGTAAAGCAAGGTCTAGATATGTAAAGGCAGCGTGACGCCACTATACGATCGATTCAACCAGCATTTGCGACGTCGTCAGAGACTCTGCTTTATTTCTTTGAAAGCGTGATTTTCGCATGATTGTTTTCAAAGCCGTAACCAGGAATGGCCAGCATGGCGACAAGGTAAGTCCCTTTTTGAGTTTCTCTCACTTAATTTCTACTCATTAGGTGACCCACCTGCCGTACCCTCGGAAGTACACGGTCGTCCGGGTCACCAAAGAGTCCACCAAGAAGTTGTTTTTCGACATGAAGGATGGCTCCCGTTTCTCGGTGGCCGACTACTTCCAGAACCGCTACGGCCACCTGGTTCATCCGAACGTGCCCTGCATTCAGGTTGGCAGCCTCGCGCACCCCGTCTAGCTGCCCCTCTAGGTATGCGGAATTGTTAAATGCCAGCACTGCCAAAAAAAAACTGGGCGAGAATCAGACCTCAGAGATGATCAAGCGAACCGCACAGACTCCGGCCAAGCGCTTCAACAAGATCCGCCAGTCCGTGCGGGACCTGATCGGCAGTGGCGACCAATGTCTGCGCAATTTCAACATCAAGATCAGCACCAAGCCGACTCAGCTGAAAAGGCGAATGCTCGAGCCACCGTCCCTGGTGTTTGAGAACAACGTGGTGACCAAGCCTCCCGAGGGCACCTGGGAGCTGCGCCGCAAACACGTCTACAGGGCGGCCTCGCTGATGCGCTGGACGCTGCTCCACTTGAGCCGCTTCGCTCAGCGAGGCAGGTAGGTTCCGTATTGCAAACAGCAGCGTCCCCAGCGTGATGCCAGTACGTTTTTTGGCACTGGTACACGCTGGAGACACTGGAACACGCTTGTGTTCACTGGTAATGGGCGCACTGGGAAAAAGGCTGTGTCGCACTGATAGGGGCACTGGCCTAATCGCTATGATGCTGGTGCACACTGCGAAGCACTGGAAGCGCTAGAATTTTCACTGGAAAGCTCTGGTGAATACTGGAGCACGCACTGTTTCTACCAGCGCAGCGTGCACATTATTGTAGCGTGTGCCGTGGTATGTTTTGGTGTCGTTAAACAGAAAACGCTTGACTCGACGGCACGGAGAGATGCTACCCTAACAGATACCGAGCATACGTAACTTTTGTGGTGCACGTACGTATCGCAGCAATTATGATGCACCTTTTTCCCTTATGCCCCCGCGTATACCGGCCACATTCGCATCAGCCGTGTATTGCTGTAACGATTCCAAGTTGCAGTGTTTGTAAGCTTGGAGTTGCACGCCACTCCTAACAGAAACAGGAAATGGTTTTTGCCGCAAAGTTGACGAAACGTAAAAAGCTCTCTCGATCGCTTCACAAGGTTTCCCAGTGGAGGCGAGAAATAAACGGTCCTTTGATTGCGCCACACCGCATAAATGGATGCCTGGCTATGCTTATCTGTCTACTTACTTCACATAACAGTTAGAAATGCTCAGAAGCTCAAATGCAGAATCTTCAACCATCCCAACTTACCGCGTCGAGAGTGGCCTTACCCAGAGCCCGGCCCAGCGAACATAAAGCCTTTCGTGCCGGCTGCGTTGGTGTATATGTTACCGGCACTCTTTGCTTCGTGCACACATAATTTTAAAGTGTGAGTATAACTGTACAGTACAGTTTTCACATCCACGAACATAAATCAACTATTTTGCCTTGTGTTAATGTTCGTACAAGGTGCGCTGGCGATCGATGCGTCGCGCTTTCAGCTACGCAGGCTGTCACCGAAAGCTACCGGCCGCACTTAGCGGGTACTTCTCCGACTGATATGTAACAACTTGCAATTTCCAGTTGGTAATTTGGAACGCCTACGTGAACTCACTTCCTCGCACACATTTTCAGCGGATTCAGTTATTATTTTTATGGGTGTCTTTTTTATTTGTTGATATTTATATAACTGTATACATCTGTACAATGGCACGCCCGCTAGTATACCGCCAGCGGAGGCCAGAAAAACGGCTGTCGCTCGGTATCGCCCATCCGTAAATGCATTTATGGCGATGATTGACCTTCCACTCACTTCAGGTACAGTGTAGGTAACACTTTAAAATGTTGCAAAGCTCAAATGCAGAAACTTCAAGCAACGCAACTCAGCTGCTTCGAAAGCGGCCTTACCCAGTATACTCCGTCCCCTCGAGGCTATATTGTGCCGGCCGCGTCGGTGTACACGCTGCCGGCGCTTTTTACTATAAATGGGCCCAATCCTAAAGTGTCAGAATGACTGTAAAGTACAGTTTACACATCCCTGAACCTAAATCAACCATTTGTTTGTGTGCGGTTCCCACACAAGGAGCGGCGACAATAGATGTGTCGTGCTTTCAGCAACGCAGGCTGTCACTGAAAGCTTCCTTCTGAGCGCAGGAGCCGGTACTTCATTTACTCGTATGTAAAGAACACGCAATTTCGAGTTGGCAGTTTGGTACGCCTTATTGAATTAACACACTGGCATACTTTTTCAGCAAATTGCATTAGTAATTTTTTCTGCGGTTTCTTAGTTGCAGGTATCGATATAACGGCAAATATGTAATCTGGCACGCCGGATGTGTGCAGTTACATCGTCGCTTGCGCGAAAACAAAATACGCAATATTCACTCATGTGCGCGTATATCAAACGAACAAGACAATTTAAATCATCTGTACATGTTGACCAGTAACAAGTGCGAGAACCAATTATCAAAGGAAAAAACTATTTGCAGCAACAGTCGACAATCTGTGGCTGCTCCTCCAGTCCATTTGAGATTTTTAAGAGTTATGTTGTGGATTCTTTGAAAAACTTCGCACTCTTGCTAATATCTGCACGTCACTCGGTGCCCGGAAGCCGTTCGTCACTGTGGGATTAAGACGCAATGGCTATTGGGAAAGGAATATCGCGTCAATCTGGACTGTGCGACTTGTAAACATGAAGTCTATTGACGCGATTTTCGGATATATAGTTATTTTACAACCCACAATGCATGTTTTAGCGTGGCGTAGTCGTTGTTGTAGAGTCTGTTTTTCTACATGCGGACTTAGCTGGTCGCCCCTACCGGGTTCAAGATTTTAGAGATGCTCTTCGGGACATCATTGACTTGAAGGAAATAAGCTCCATAGGTCAATTTCAAATGTCTCATGTTTGGATGGTCACATGCATGTCAACGCTGACGAAAACAAAGTTGGTCACAAGAGGCGAATTTTACGTCAAAAGTCGTCGATGCCTCGTTATAGACCCGGAGCCCACGGAAGTGAAGCTGAAGCTTATGTGGCTTCCTGAGCGCTTGGAGGACGCCTATGTGTGCGAGGCACTGCAAGCTTTTGGGAAGGTCAAGACAATATCACAAGAAAGCTGGAAAGTAGTGGACATAGAACAAATGCGGACGCTAAATAGGGATGTTGTTTTGTCCCTTGCTGATGGAGTTCGCATTGCGGATATTCCTGATATTCTTGTTGTCTGCGGAGTGCAAAGCCTCGTCCTAATACCTGGCCGCCCACCACTTTGTCTCGGTGCAGTAAGGTTGGACACATTCGTCGAAACTGCAGGACCCCTCGCTGTGACAACTGTCGACGCTTCGGTCATTCGGCCGAAGATTGTGTTATGACATACGCCAACAAGCTGCGACAGCGCACAAAACAGCCAGATGATAACCTACAAGAGCATATTATGGATGCCACCGAGGTTCTGGACGCAACGGGAGACACTCCGTCAATGTCATATGCTGCAGGCTCTACCACAAGGAATCCAGAAGAGGAAAGAAAGTCACTCGCTGTTGACACAGTTGAAACTTCTGCGTGCAAAGAGCCAAGTGAGTCATGCAAGCAGCATACCCAAAACGACTCCGCACAACCCATAGCACAAGTAGGAGTTCCTAAGAAGAGTGTTGTTGCGCTGACCCATAAAGATGCCGAAGAACCACCAGTACAAGATAGAGACTCTGGGCTGGATGCCGCAGAAAGTTCAACACCTGCTTGCACTGCAGCTCCGCAGCAGCTTTTTCATCATGGTGCAGTGTCGGAAGATGATATGCAGATCTCTACGGATACAGCAACACTGAAACGTCGCGCATCCTCCAGCTCGGATTCAAGCAAAGGGAGTGACCAGCGTCAGCGACTAGGGAGTCACGCCGTCGCCGAAAGTCCATGCAAAAGGGGAAGTGTCGCCGATCCCGATCTAGGAGGCCTGCTGGGGGCTCACGGGAAGCCTCAGCACCAACTCTTGGGACTGATCAAGAGGGACAATAAGCGAATTAGAAGGTAGTCACCATGGCGCAGTCTGAGCGACTCATATTTGCCACCTTGAACGTATGCGGCCTTAGGTCTTCGCAGAAACAAGCACAGCTCCGTAGACTTCTCAATCGGAAGCGTCTCGAATTTTCCGCCATCCAAGAGACAAAGATCGAGAGCGAGGAAGAGACCGAGAAGGCCCTGCGACCTTTTCTGTCTCAGTTTAATGTGTGTGTCTCACATGATAAAGGTTTATCTGCGGGCTGTTGGTTGTTTTTGAGAAAAAGCCTACCCTGTTCAGCATTCTGCACTAGTGTTGATGAAGAGGGCCGGTATATATGCTGTGATTTTTTGTTGCAAGGAGTGCCATGGAGAATTATCAATCTATATGCGTTTAATGATGTTCCGAAACGACTTGAGTTATTTGAAAAAGTGCGTAATTTAATTGACGTCGACATATGCACGGTACTTATGGGAGATTTTAACTGCGTATGTGAAGCCATTGATCGTTATAATTCGTCTGGAAAGAGAGACAGGAGTGGTGAGCTTTTATCTGGTATTGTAGATAATGCAGGACTAATTGACATTGGGGTCTCGAATCGGGCAACAGCATATACAAGAGTACAAGGCAGCTCTCATGCTCGCCTTGACCGGATTTATGTGTCCTCATCACTCCTATCTCGTAAAATTTCCTGCAGCACCGAAGCTGTATCATTCTCAGACCATTGTATTGTCATAGCGCAAATTGGCGAAAATCGTCACAAACAATTCCGTCCCTAGTGGGCCCTTTGGAAAATGAATGCGAAGCTCCTCTGTAATCAGGAATTCATGAATCGCGTCCAGATGGCATTGAGGCAATCTTTTTCGATTGGTTTTCATATCTTCGCAGCTTGGGAGCTTTTTAAACAAGAAGTTAGTGCTATAGCTTTAGAAATTGGGGCTGTTAAGTCTTTCTATAGAAAGAATGATGAAAAGATACTTGTTAAAAGTCTTTGCAATATTTATGAGATGGAATGCGAAATGCCGGGAAAGTACATCAAAGATATTGAGAATATTAAGTGCCAACTACAGAGATATGATGCTGCTCGCTACCAAGGGGCACGTATTAGATCTCGGAACCAGCGCACTTTAAATTCTGAGCAACCGACGTGCCAAGCTTTACTTGATGAGCAACGCCATGCGATTTCTAAAGTTATTCCAGACTTGTACTTTAACGATGTGCTCATAAAAGATAACGGAGACATTACTTTGACGTTCGAAACGTACTATAACAGCTTATTTAGCTCTCCCTCTGATGATCTTGACGCTCACTTCCAGGCTAGTTTTGTTTCTCTTGTGAACCCCTTGAAGGACAACGATTGTGCAGTCATTAATGGGCCCATTACTATACAGGAAATCGAGCAAGCAATCGACAACTTGCCTTTATTGAAAACACCGGGGCCTGATGGCATCTCCGGCGAATTTTGCAAAGCTTTCAAGAAAACGCTTGCTCCTACATTGCTGAATATTTTTCAGATGAGTTATGACATGGATACACTCCCACAATCTTTTTGCAAAAGTCACACTGTGTTAATACCGAAAACAACTGACAAGGAAAAACTTCGCTTCGTCGAGGGCTACAGACCAATATCGATGTCAAATGTGGACTACAAAATTTTCGCAAAAGTATTAGCAAATAGGTTGCAATTTGCTATGTCGATCCTCATTGGGTCTCATCAGACATGTGGGATTAGAGGTCGATCCATACAAACCAATATACATGTCGCTCGAACAGTGCTTCAATACTGTCATGGTTCTCAAAAACATCTTGCAATGCTACAGGTAGACCTTGCAAAAGCTTTTGATCGTGTTCGTCATTCCTTCCTTTTTTCTCTTCTCGAACAAGCTAATGTTGGCAAAGTTGTTCTTAAAGGCGTTTAAATTATGCTATAATGAATGCTCAACTCGTCTGATAGTTAATGGTCAACTCTCTAAGCCAGTTTCTATTCGCTCTTCTGTAAAACAGGGATGCCCGGTGTCACCTCTTTTATTTGCACTTTATCTAGAACCACTGTGCTTAAGCATAATACAGTCGAGTTGCATTCGTGGCTTTAGAATATTAGGCTGTGAGGTTAAAGTATTGGCTTATGCAGACGATGTCGCATTCTTTTGCACAGATAAACCAAGTGTCGAAAATGTGGTATATACTATTGAAAAGTTCGGCGTAGTATCAGGAGCTCGTTTAAATGCCTCTAAAAGTTTAGGACTGTGGTTTGGCTTGTGGGGTAGCACACCGAACCACTTTGCAGGGATTAATTGGACAAGAACTCCTCCAACATACCTCGGTGTACCATTGCATGTATATAGATTCAGTGCGCATTACTGGAAAAAACGCGTCCCTAAGCTTCAACGACAGGCCCAGACATTTGTGAGCTATCGACTTTCGATATTTGGGAGAGCTGAAGCTTGCAATACTTTCTTAGCAACAAAACTTTACTATGTATTGCAACCTATTCATTGCGCAAGATTCTATATACAACGCTTTCATCGGATTTTCACTACTTTCTAATGGTCTTCGACTTTTGAGCCCATGCGTCGTGATAATATATTCAAGCCAGTTAGTGAGGGTGGGTTAGGACTAAAACACCTTTATCTATGGCAAATAGTGTCCCGATTCTTCTTTTTTCGAGACAATTCCCATCCTGTAATCCGTTCCTTCTTCCAGGTTACAGTTGTTGATTGCTTGCCAGATTTATTTGTTTCATCCAACTTTTCCGAACGCCCATGCTTGTGGGGATTCATGCAGGAGGTTTACCTCGCAGTTCAGTTCCTTAAAGCTCGCTTCTCTGTAGAATACTTGTACACAGTATCACGCAAGGTGCTGTATAAGGACCTACTCAGTATACTCTTCCAACCTCCATTGTACCGTTCACTGTACGCCAATCTTCCAGGTCACAATGTGTTGAAGCGAATGCGCAAAATGTACATTCCACCGAATTCAAAAACATTCCTCTATAAACTCCACTCTGAAACATTGGCGGTAAACACATGGTTAGAAAGAAAAGGTATTTTCATTCCGTCTGTTAACTGCCGTCTATGTCATGTGCCGGAAACGATTGAACATTGCTTTGTTAGCTGCAAAGATGCCACACTGTTTTGGGATGTCCTTCAGCGAGCTCTGAAAAAACGTTTCATCATTAATTCTCACACAATACGTTATCTTCTGCCAGCAGCGCTTGATGAAGTACCATATGATATGTTTTTCCACATGGGTATGCACAGCTTGTGGAAGACACGAATGCAAGACCGCAATGTAGAGCCCACCACCTCTTCAAGCGCACACTTCATTCAAAAAGCTATCCACCTAAAAAACATTTACGACGAGCTAGACTTTAGACCGGACTGGTACTCTGTCTTAGATAGCTGTTTGACCTCACCCCTTTTTTGTTTGTATAACACAATGTGAAGAACTCTCCATGTGAAGAACTCGCGCTGTGTTAGGCATTTAGTGTTTATGAGTAACACTTGAACGCTTACTTTCGCGATTTGATTGCACTTTTGTTCGCTTGATTTTGTCATGATTGCCCAAGTACTTTAATAAATACGACGGTAGAAAAAAATCCAGCGTGGCGTAGTGGGTAGCGTATTCAGTTCGTAATCAGAAAGTGGCGGGTCGAAATCCCGTTGGGAGGCGTTTCATTATTTTTCATTTTTTTATTTTTTATGTGAATGCGCTATATTTTGCCTATATATTTATTGATTTATGGCGAATGGGCACTTCCACTTCAAACCTGTGTAGCCCTTTTTCGCAGAGTACTGGGACGCTGCTGCTCCAGCGTCCCAGTACCTGCGCTGGGAGGCGCTTGTATCAGCGCCATACTGGGCCCATAATCAGGCATATAGCGCTGAACGCTGGTACTAAGTGGCGCTGGTTTTTGCAATAGGGTTTTATTTCTTTTCTTTAAGAGCTCACGGGCATATGCGAACATACGAAGGTGGTTCACGTTGTGCCCCATACTTTACTTAGCCTGTCTCGTCTTGGTGACATTGGCTCATCGAAGTTTCCAATTTTTTCAAAGACAATTCTCTCTACTACGTAACACACATATGCAAGGTAAGTTCTGGCAAGGACGGCTACTTACAGACGTCTGCAAGTCAAGTTAGGTCATGTTAACTAGAAATCTGCACTAGCAGGGCTGGGCAGTACCATAATGGAAGTTTGTTAGAGGATGGCATGTTGGAGACCCACTGTTCCGCAACTATGCAATGGCGGCAAAGGGCTCCCAAAATGGACAAAATGGCCGATATATGTGGTGAATGTGCTCGGTGCTCTTGATGTAAACAGTGCGGAAACGACGTTGTCGGCCCCTACCGATTGCACGCCGCCACTCGGGGCCGGTACCGCCTTTCTCAAAATTTGCGGTACCCAAATAACCTGAAAGAGTTGTTGCAGGACTCTCTCTTTCAAGACGGTACTGCTCCTCTCCAACAAATACATTTTCTTTCGCGAATTTTGTGTTGAGATGCAACCACTGCGGTATGGAAAGCCTATTGAGATGAATAAAAAAGGTGGCGATTTCGACAAAATCGCTGATTGTTCGAGTGCAAGAAATCATGTCGTGAAACTTCTCCTAGCTAGAGGGGGGGGGGGCGTGAGCCACCGCCTAATCATTGGACACATCCCTATTTATCTGTGCAGTCTGGACAACTTTGTGAAATATGGTGCGCACGGGCAACGAGCTCGGCATGCGCATCGAGCAGCCGGTGGACATCAGCTCGGCCGACACCAACCACAAGCCGATTCGCACCACGCTGCTCGAGGAGCAGGGCAAGGTTTCCTATATAGAGATGATCATTATCGTCCTTGCCAAGAACACTAACTACGCCGAGATCAAGCAGGTGGCCTAGACCGAGATCGGCCTGCGAACCCAGTGCGTCATGGACAACAGCGTCGTCAAGAAGTGCAACCCGGTGCTGGTCACCAACCAATGCCAGAAAATCAATACCAAGCTGGGTGGGACGAACAACAGCCTCCTGTCCAAGGAGAACAGAAGAAGCCGGCCATCTTCCAGAAGCCCGTGATCATTATCGGCATGGACGTCACTCACCCGGCGCTCGGGGACAAGCACCGACCCTCTATCACCGCCTGCGTCGGCAGCCTGAACTCGATACCTTCCAGGTTCCACGCTTCCATTTGGGTCAAGATGGAGGACTCGATGGCCACGTCTCACGTGGAGATGATCAGCGACATGAAGGACATGATGAAGGACCTGCTTAAGGCCTTCTACCGGGCCACCAAGCACAAGCCTGAGCGCATCATCTTCTACCGGGATGGAATGAGCGAGGGCCAGTTCATGAAGTTTCGAAACTGGGAGGTGAGCACACGCAGGCGTGGCCGCCTGAAACGATAATCATTGGTACTTTTCACATTGTAATCAAAATGGCTGCCGCCGGCCCCATTATAATTTACTATGTCACGTTATTTGGTTTCACGCTAAGCTTTTTGGAATACCGGGTAAAATATGGCACTCTTAATAGACTGCTGGACTGATTCTTGGAACGACGCGGACCACAACCGAACGTATAGCGCGAAAAATGCGAAGCAAAAAGCAAGTAGCTCGAAGCGTTCCACAGCACTCGCAGTTGACGCGATAATTAGCCGAAAGCCTACTACGCGGCTCTCCCATGTAGCTGAGACACAAGACACTTTTTCGTGGTGGCAGGAGCCGCGAACAAAAAAAACATGCTGAGCTGGGTGTGTTGTACAGAGTCGCGCCCAAGTGCTGGTAAACAAAAGAAATTTCCATGGTGCACAAGCTCACCGCTGTAGCATGGCATATAGCTTGCAGACTACAGAGCGCGTAAGGATACAAATAAATGTCCTCGCCCCCTTTAATGGTCGATAAAGACTGCAGCTTCTACAGTGCTGAACGGAACTACTGAAACAGAGCTCAAGCAAGAAGGAGTAGCACAAGGAAAGCGAAAGTGTGGCGCACACCTCAAGACGTTGAGCACTTTTTAAATGCGAAGCAGTTCTTCGCATACTGCAATCACTTTTGGCGTCTATTTATCTATGTATTCGCCTACGTGTGGATGCTCTATTGATCACCCCCTTAACTAGGAGTAAACCAAAATTAGTACGGGAGGGTAAGATGGCCTGACGAATACGACACGCTGGTCATAACATCAATTAGGTCATTACCAACGGCACAAACCCGTGAGCGCGTATGTGCCACTGGTATGCGGGTATGTTCCATATGTGATGGCCAGTTCTATCCAGGAACGGCTAGAACACACAGGGGTAACTAACGAGCGCGCGTGAAAAAAATGTTGACATCAAAGCGTTGACACGACGGAGGCAAAGAATAAACCTCAGGGTCCCAGCAGGAAACGAACCCCTGTACAAACTACAAAGGCACCACAGCACCGTGGAGGAACCATCATTGATAGAGTATTTGACCACGAAACCACGCCAGGTCTGGGAACTACTTTTCAACCAGACCGAATGTATACGTGAAACGTCTATTTTGGTTGCAGTGATGGCTATTCAACTTTAAACATTACACATGCTTCTATGAAACAGCCGTCATGTCGGGTTAACGTTAATTGTAGTTAGATGTCCCCACTCAAGTTAGGGCTGGCATCCTCGCGAGCACCAGCGCTTCGTATCAGCTTTATTGCTCCCACTGGGGATAAATCCACGTTGCTGATGGGATTGTCACGGAACTGTAAACAACTGGTTAAAAAAAACATACGTGGTTGTTTAACATATGTCTGTACGTGCATTTGTACATAGCTTTAGCGCCACTTCATACCGGTTCGTTCAATGAAAAAGGAATACAGCACAGTCACCGCAATACATTGATTTCCAAGAAACGGATGAGGACCTCGAGAAAGGCGTGGTCGCCATCCCCAATGATACAACACTTCCGGTGTTGGCGGCCACTAGAAAGACACAATATCGAGCTTTGGTCACTGTGTGAAATGAAGTCGCCAATGACGAAGATTGCCGCTTTGCTACTCTTATGCAAAAAGTACTGGCCTATGTATTCATGCCCCGCCACGATGGTCTAGTGGCTAAAGTACTTAGCTGCTGACCCACAGGTCGCAGGATCGAATCCCGACTTCGGCGACTGCATTTCCGATGAAGGCGGAAACGTTGTGGGCCCGTGTGCTCCGATTGGGGGGCACGATTAAACTCCAGGCGGTCGAAATTTATGGAGCCCTACACTACACCGTCTCTCATAATCATATCGTGGATTTGGGACGTGAAACACCACAAATCAATCAATTATTCATCAATCTATTGATCAATAAAATGAGAAGAAGAAGTTGCTGGTTAGTTTCAATGCTTAGGCATCAGGGTGCTTCGGACTTCTTTTCCGCCCCGTTCAGTCATGCCGCACCGATTAGGATTGAAGTGGAGAGCTTTAGAATACCATACTCAATTCTTGCGGGCATATTGTTAGCGTTTGTCACTGAATGAAAGCCCGCACGGGGTGATCCTATACGGCAAAACGTAAACACCATGCTTTTCGTTGCATTGTTCTTAAAACTATCTAATAATATTACAGTTTCAGTAGCGCCAGACTCCTCGCTACGATACTATTGCGAAACTATGCTCACCTGTAGCTTACGACGTGACGCGAACACAAAGCTTTGCGTTGCACTGTTCTAAAACAGTAATACAATGCAGTATCACCAGCGGGAGACTTCTCTCAGGTCGTAGCTATGCTCACCTGAAGGCGGAGGTCGTCACTGGACCTCTGCCTGGGTCCGCATATGCCATTTGGGTGGACGACACCAGGGTCCTGGTACAGTGGCGAGGATGCAGGTATCGACTCCACTTCTGAGGGAGCCATGCAGCGGGGCCCATTGGCTGTGGCGCCTACGACGACCCCGTGGCTCACGCCGTTCATGGTCAGTGTAGCAGCTGCAATGGTGTCAGGCTGGAGCTTCGTGGAGCAAGGCGGCACAGCCGCCGCGACGCCGCCAGATGCCTGACCGGATGCGCCATTGGCGTATGTGGCCTGTCCATTGGCGTGGGAGACCTCTTCGTTTGCGTAGGGGACCTGGCCGTTGGCGTAAGGGACCTGGCCATCGGCGGCTCCTCTCACTGAGACGACCGCCGGCCGCCCCACGGTGCCAAGGCCAGAATCGCTGTTTCGCGCAGCAACTGAAGGAATGATTGATTTGTGGGGTTTAACGTCCCAAAACCACGCAACTGAAGGAAAGCCATACCAATTGTTTCCGCCTAAGAAGTCATCACACCTGAAGTCAGAAGGGCAATGGACACTGAAATCTTGCAAGACTGTACTTTCACGAGCGCGGCTGTGAACGGCGAGTTATGTGTTTCTTAGCCTTGATATATGTCAGACATAACAATTTGATTGATTTGTGGGGTTTAACCTCCAAAAACCATCATATGATGAAAAACGCCGTAGTGAAGTTTTTTGAAAATTGACCAGCTGCGGTTTTTAACTTGCACCAAAATCTGGCAGACATAACAATTTCGCGTGGCATGTGAGTGGTCAAAAGTTTGAGAATAAAGTTGGCACTTACGCGCGCTGCAGCACTACGCCCTCTCCCCCAGCCCTAGGCATAAAATAAAGGGGTGGGCTTAGGGGCTCGGGCACCCTCCAAGCTGCTTCATGGGCAGCAGAGCCTTCTCCTCGCCCATGGCATGCAGCCTGGATATAATATTAGAGCTGGGCTTAGGCTGTTATTCTATGCAAACGCATTGTTGTCCACCCTGTCTTGAAGCTATTTCAGAGGTGACTCTTTATACCCGTGCATTTTCCTTTCATGATATTAAAATTTCAATTCCAGGGTAGTGATAAAAAGGCAGTCTGGCTCTGTGGTCGCATTGAGGACGAAGTCGCAGGATGACATAATTTGCGGTATTTGCACGGCAGTTGTACAAATAGGTATGGCATTTACGCGTACACATAGAGAAAATTAGTTTTTTATGTAATTGATAATTTATATGCTATTTATAATTTTATGAGGTCTTTCTCTCTTTTGCTCTATCTATCTATCTATCTATCTATCTATCTATCTATTTATCTATCTATCTATTTGTTTATCTATCTAACCTACCTACCTACCTACCTACCTACCTACCTACTTACCTACCTGCCTACTTACCTACCTACCTACCTACCTACCTACCTACCTACCTACCTACCTACCTACCTACCTACCTACCTACCTATCTATCTATCTATCTATCTATCTATCTATCTATCTATCTATCTATCTATCTATCTATCTGTCTGTCTGTCTGTCTATCTATCTATCTATCTATCTATCTATCTATCTATCTATCTAATCTACCTTCCCACCTACCTACCTACCTACCTACCTACCTACCTACCTACCTACATATCTATCTATCTATCTATCTATCTATCTATCTATCTATCTATCTATCTATCTATCTATCTATCTATCTATCTATCTATCTATAGAGGTGGAGGTGTGGAAAAGCAAGTTCTCCGACGTTCCCCATGAGAACCCAATCCTGAGTGGGTTAATCCCAGCTGCGGCAAGAATGTACCCGAAATCTTCTCATCCGCTCCCCTGGTTTTCGGCGTAACGACCCTGGCATGCATGTTTACTTTTCCGAATATCCACAGGGCTCGACAATTTTAAAAATTTTGTTATAAACAGTGGACATAGGGCGCAGGAGAGGAAGTAAAGATGAGGGGTGCGCGTGGGACGGGGTGGTTCTTGGATCTACGCCGCAATAAACAGACGTCGAGACGCTCTGTTCTTCATCTCCAGGCGTAATAGTCCTTTGAACCCGCACTATAAGGCAAAATTACCCCAAACAAAGGAGTAACGAAGCCCAATAGGCACGCGCGATAAACGGATAGACCGTTGAAGACAAACCACAGAGGGAAGCGTGCCGCGTGCAAACCACTTAATCTCCAAACACGCTCCAAAGGGATGAACCACCAGGGAAATGCAGGAAGCGCACAAGGCGTTGCCAAGGTCACTAGCCGTTCTCCTCTGCTCCTGGCTCGGTCTTTCCTTGTATTTTTCTGGCGACGGTTCACGTTGCGTCGTGCTCGGAGTGCTCGAGCACGGCCGCCTCGATTCGATGATTTAGGAATTATGACGTGGTGGTTTTGTGTACGCTTGGATCAGCGTGAGCTGCTGGTTTTACGTATCGCTGCACTCATGAAGTCTGCAGCAAGTCTCGACACGTCACCACGCCACGCTGTATAATTCTGGCTTCAAGATAGTCACGACCAACTCATGACAGCAACAGTTGGGAAGGCCAACATGGCGGCCGAGAAGACAGCAGGCCTATCGGATATATACTTCAGTCCGGCTCCGGGCAGAAATCAGCGCAGGATTCTTTCACAAGTGAGTCATCATGCTTTATTCTACTCTACTATTCGCG